CAGCTCAGCGTGGCATTTTCTGACACTGCAGCCTTCACCTCTTTCTGCACCTTCTCCTTGTGGACAAAGGCATCTTCTGCCTCTGAAATAGGGAAAATATAGAAGATGTAAATACCTTGTGTCAAGAAGTTCTTACTTGTATGAGGCATGGAGGCTCTGCAGGATCTTGGACTTGGCAATGCTGGTTTCATCACTGGGCATGATGATCTTAAAGGTCTTTTCCAACAGAAATAATTCAATATTAAACTCTTCCAAGTCACCCATCTTTACAGTTCTATTTATCATATAACTAAAGCAATGTATCCTCAAAATATAGTCCATGTAATTATCATCCCTCTCTGACTTGTCCTCATGAACAGCTCATCCACTCCATTTGTAAATTTCTTACAATTATTATAAAAATGAATGAATATAAAGATAAAATTCTTTCTTGTGTCTTGATGATATTTCTACTCTCCACATTTGGAATGAGCCAAATACAGCACAATGGTGAGTTGCCACCTCCACTATCACATTATTCAGAGGATTTTACCAGGTATTTTAGATCAAGATTGGGTGTTGCAGAGAAAATACCTTGCAACTCAATCCCAAAGACAGGACAAAGACACAGCTCTCAATATGGAAAAGCACTTGATAAACATTACACAAAAAACTAGCATATAAAATTTGAAGTATGTCAGCATGATATTTTATGAAAAATCCCTTCACCAGGATTTCCTCTCCGGGGAAGCTTCAGCTTCTCTCTGTTTTGCTGCTTTGGAATGTGATTTGGAAAAATGTTTATCCCAGCCTGTGAATTGTTTTTAATCAATGACCAATCCCAGCCCAGCTGTGTCAGACTCTCTCGTCAGCCACAGATTTTTATTATTCATTCTTGTTTAGCCTTCTGATGTCTCCTTTTTCTTTCTTTAGTGTAGTTTTAGTATATAATTTCTTTTAATATGATATAATATCATAAAAAATAAATTAGCCTTCTGAGAACATGGAGTAAAATTCTCATCTCTCCCCTCGTCCTGGGACCCTCACAACACCACAGAAGTGTATTTTTATTTCCAAAAAATTCTGTGATTTTTCAGCAAACTGGCTTTCTGACAGGAGGGTGGAGCCATGGGGAAGTCGGGCTCTGCTCCCAGAGAACAAGAGCCAGGATGAGAGGGAATGGCCTCAAGCTGGGCCAGGGTAGGGTCAGGTTGGACATCAGCAGGAATTTCCCCATGGAAAGGGTGGTCAGGCAGTAGAAAGAGCTGCCCAGGGAGGTTTGGAGTCCCCATCCCTGGAGGTGTCCAAGAAACACCTGCACATGGCACTCAGCGCTCTGGGTTGGGGACAAGGTTGGACACAGCTGAGATGGGAGGGCTTTTCCAACCTCAGTGATTCTGTGACCTGGGAGGCTCTCGGGGATGCTGAGCCACTTCCATCCCCTGTGCTACCTCCTTCCCCTCCCCTGTCACCCCTGCAGCCTCCTGGGGCCAGCCTTGGCTCCTCCTGGATGATTTTCTCCTGTCTCCATCACGTCTGTGCTCCGAGCAGCAGCAGCTGCCTGGGAGGGTGAGGAGAAGGGGTAAGTTCAGGTTGAGTTCCACATGTGCTCCTGGGCCACATCACAGCCTTGCTATGAATACTGCACAGTCCACAGAAAGAGAGGAGCCCTGCAGGGAGCAACACAGAGCAGGAATCCAGCTCAGGGGCTCTGAATTTGAGCTCCTCTGTTTATATTGGCTGCAGGAGGGGTGTGAGGAAATGCTGTTGTCATTTAGAAGGCACATGGTTTGTGCTGGGTGATGGAAAGCTCCTCAAAGTGACACGCCAGCAGCATTTTGACATCTGAAAGGGCTCGAGCACACACACCAAGCTTTGCATTCAAAACTGATTGCAAAAATATTAATATTTAAACTCCCATCTACAACTCTGAGTGTGAATATGCAGAGTGCATTCAATAGGCTATAAAACAAGTCTGTGTCAATGAGGGCTGTATTTAAAATGTCAGGTTAGCAGAGCAGGAATATTCCAGGCTGATCTCACTTGGCCTTTACATTCTTGACCTTTCATATAAACCATTTTTATACGGATAGGAAGTGTGACTAAAACTTTTAATCAGCTTCAAAAGTGATTTACACCAGTTAATAATTTATTTTAGAAAGTTATTTTAAATTTTAAATTTAAACAACTATTCAGTGAAGATGACATTTCCAACTTTAATTGGAACTGGGCAGTGGAAATGATGAAAAATATTTTCAGGACATGAAAATTTCACCGATTTAAAATACGGATTTCACTGCATACCCTGAATCTTGAAATAATGAAATTTCAGAATCAGCTCTTTTTCTATGTGCCCAACTCAGTTCTAAGATGTGCAGCAGCTGATTTTTTTTTATATTAACCCAAAAAATTCAGTGTAAAAGTAAAATTCAGTGTAAAAATAAAAAAAATAACCCAAAACCCAACACTGAGCATCTAACCTTCAACCTGTCCTTAAACAGGGAAAGCTTTGTGCTACCAGTGGAGCCCTGGAGTACAGCAACCCTGAAAATCTTTCCAAGAGCAACGGCACCAGGATAAATTAAGACCCAGAAATCTGCTGCACTCTGGGATAAACCAGTAAGAGGAGGATTTCTGGAGCAGGAGAGCCAACCGCTCTGAGTACGCATAATCCCTCCTGACTTTCACACTGGATCATTTTCCAGCCAGGGCTGGACGGGCACGTCGTGTCACAGCTGTCCCCATGAGCAATACAGCAACGGTAGCTAAGGCAGGCTGGTGGCACAGGGCAAGGGGTCACATTACCCTGTGCCACCATGGAAAGAGGACTGGAAACCTTTCTGGGGCAGAAAGCCCCCTCAGAGAGAGAGGTTCGTGTGTAAAACACTAAATTTCTGTTTTCTGGCTACACCTCTGCAGTAATGGATGAAACAGTCAGCAGCAAATAACGAATTTGGTTTATAACAATTTTGCCTGGAGAAGCTGCGGGTGCTCCATCCCTGGAAGTGTTTCAGGCCAGGCTGGATGGGGTTTGGAACAACCTGGAATGGTGGAAGGTGTCTCTGCCCATGGCAGGGAGTCGGAATGAGATGATCTTCAAGCTCTTTTCCAACCCAAATGACTCTGTGTTTTTATGATGGTCTATCAATGCCCATATTGAATTTTTTCTGGAAAACACCTCTCAAATCTATCCTTAATTATCCTTCCTTCCTTATCTATCCTCCACTGAAAATGGCAACTCCCTCAGCCAAAGAATGACCTACACAAAGAATGAAAAAGAGCCAAAATGCCCCGGCTCACAGCCTGGGTACCCCACATAGAGTGGAGTCAGTAAATTCCCAACACAGCAGTTCCTCTACACTGTTGATAAAATACCAAACCTCTGTTTGATGCTAAAAGAAAACAGAGGTTAAAACTGTTTCCCTGTTCTGATCACGTCTGCATATGAGACAAGAATTTTAATATTAAAAAAGAGGGATTTGGCTGTAAAGATGGTGGAGTGTTATAAATATTAAAACAAACAAACCCTTTCTTAACATCAAATTCAGAAATGATTACTCAGAATGTAGCTGCTGTCCACGCCTGCCTGGAGCCTGAGATAAATTCACCAAATATCTTGTAAAATCTACTGAGACCAAAGAAATCACAGAATCATTTAGGCCGGAAAAAACTCGGAAGGTCATTGAGTCCAACTGTCACCCCAGCACCACCAGGTCCCCCAAGTGCCACATCCACACAGCTTTTAAACCCTTCCAGGGATGGGGACTCCACCACTTCCCTGGGCAGCCTGCTCCAATGCCTGACAACCTTTTTGGTGAAAAAATTTTTTTCTAATATCAAACTTAAACCTCTTGTGGAACTTGAGACCATTCCCTCTTGTCCTATCACTTGCAAAAAAAGACGAAGGAAAACATTGATTTTCATGGAAGAATGCCTGTAACAGGAGGAGGAGAACCAGTACTGGTGATCAAACTGAAGAGATTTTGGAACACAGTGGCTGTGATTGAGAAATGTGTTTGAATATATTGAGAAATCGTGTTCAGTACCTCAGCCGAAGGAGATATAGGGAGGTGAGGAGCTGACATCAGGATATGAAGAGGTCAGCTCCAGATCTGCTCAGTCCTGCACAACCACACTGAAACAACAGCTCAGACAAGCATCAGAAAGTACTTTAACAGCTTTTCTAATATTGCATCAGATAAAACAGGGAAGACCACCCAGATACAAAGAAAAACCAAAGAAATGCAACCCAAAATCTGTCTCCCACCTGTGACATTGATCCTGAAGGTGAGCTTTTGGCCAGCAGCCTCACAGGTGTACTCCCCTGCATCTTTCTTCTCCACCTGACCCACCACCAGGCGACGCGATTTGCCCTCCGACTCCACCTTGAACTTCTTGCTGGAGCTGATCAGTTTCCCATCCTTGTACCACTTCACCTCTGTTTTCTCCTGGGCCACCTCGCAGCTCAGCGTGGCATTTTCTGACACTGCAGCCTTCACCTCTTTCTGCACCTTCTCCTTGTTTGTAAACACAACTTCTGGCTCTGGAAAGAGAGAGAAATCCAGACTTTCTCCAAAATATGATTTTGCTCAATCCTCTTATTGTGGCTTACAGGTAACACTGGAAAAAAACCCTCTGACGTGACAGTCCACATCTAAGTCTATCAGAAGAACATGCAAAGGACCTTTTGGTGGTTTTTTGCCTGTTTTGGGTTTTTTGACATCAGTAACCTCTCTATGGTTCATAAGAACATAGACTGGCAGGACCCAGTCAAGACAGAACATATTTTGGTTGAAGTTAATTGCAAACTATGAAGTTTTCAGAGGAATAAGCTGTTCTGTGCTGCATTGCAGTCCCATAAAATTGATTTCTTTGATTCTCAGCAGCTGCTTCTGCTTCTTTTTAGATCATTTTGTGAAGTGAGAAAGGTGCTAGACCAGCGAAGACATGTCCAGGACCCCGTTATTTGTTATTCTTAATGCAACCTTGGAAAAAGCTCAGCTCATTCAAATGGTGAAATCCCCTTGCTCTAAATGGTGAAATCCCCCTGTCCTCCAGAGACACATCAGTCACACCACTTGCAATTGGATTGGGAAGCTGTGAGGGAGATGGGAAGCTGAATCCATCCTACCTCTCTACAGCCCCAGTAGGGAAACACAACTGGAATGACTCTCCATGACACCTTCTTTTCTTACTTGCCATTTTCTTGACACCTTAAAGACCTTAGTACATATCAAGCTCTACTTCCATGACTCCCTTCAGACTGAAATGAGCACTTCCAAGGGAAACAAAAGGAGTGTGGACATTGGGCAGGCTCTCCACCATGACCCTGCACTGAGAATGAGCTGTGAATGAGCTGTGGTGCAGATTTGTTCTTCTTGCACCAAGACAGAAGGAAGGAGATGCACAATCAGTACCTGTCACAGAGAAAAAATGTGGGCCTTTGTCGGGGACGAGCCATTTGTTGGTGAGGGGAGACTCAGACACTCAATATGAGTGATAAGCAAATTCTGTTTATTAAAGAGAGCATCAGACACTTATACAGCAAGTAATAAGCTTATGAATATTCTGTAAGCTAAGCAATCTATTGGTTAAACTATACCATCAACTCTTCCTCATTCCTTAGGGGTTACATCTCTTTTTTCTCATGTCTCTTTCACTGTTTGTTATCCTACCACAGCTAGGCCCAAGGACACTGTTATCTTGCAGGTGCAGGACTTGGAATTAGCCTCAGTTTTTGTACTTTTCCAGTCCTTAGCAGCTAAATTCCCAACAAGTACCTTCTTTTTTACAGCCCTTTCCCTTCAGTGGTGTGTAGCTTCCAAAATTCTCCAGGGATTCAGCTCTCTGTTTTAAGGATTTTAAATATTTTACAAAGAATACGTGAAAAAAACTTGTATTTAACCCATCCTAGGCCATGCCAACGATGTAATCCAAAAATTTGAAGCATTACACGAAGAGGACTTACAAAATAATGTTAATTTTTCTAAAGATTCTAGAAATAAAACTGATGGGCCAAAGAACCTTCTCCTACCTGGGACATCGATCCTGAAGGTGAGTTTTTGGCCAGCAGCCTCACAGGTGTACTCCCCTGCATCTTTCTTCTCCACCTGACCCACCACCAGGCGACGCGATTTGCCCTCCGACTCCACCTTGAACTTCTTGCTGGAGGTGATCAGTTTCCCATCCTTGTACCACTTCACCTCTGTTTTCTCCTGGGCCACCTCGCAGCTCAGCGTGGCATTTTCTGACACTGCAGCCTTCACCTCTTTCTGCACCTTCTCCTTGTGGACAAAAGCATCTTCTGCCTCTGCAATTGAAGGTACAAGGGCAGATTTTGAAAATTCACGGATCCCTTCCCAAATGCACACATCACCTTTTCAATTCTGGTGCTGAAATTAATTTTCCATTCACATTCCTTGCTGCCATCACCTACTGAATTTTTAACATTTGAATTACATCACGTGCCAGTGAAGGAGTCATTCTCTGGTAGCCCAAGACACAAAAGCCTCAAGATTGCTTTAATTTCCACCACTACCTTTCTTCAAAATCTGAAGAAAGTAACATATCCCAAAATCCAGCAGCCCTAAGGTGGATGAGGTCTCTCAAAAGTAGGTTCACTGTAAGAGCACAAGCATTAAATTGCCCAACCAACCCAAGAGTTGTAGTTTATTTTGCCAACAAAACAAAGATAGTGTTAGGAAAACAAACTTTGTGAGCCTGTTCTGTGTCTGTATCTTTATTTCCCAGCCATTCTCAAGATGTGTCATCCTTAAATTATTTTTTTTCTAATAAATGAAAATTAGCCAGCCGTAATTGTATTTGCACCATGCCACGGCCAAAAATAAATCTAACGTATGAATTCTTCAATTTGCTTTAAATTCATTGGGATCCAACTGAAGGATGTCAAGATTAAAAGCTGTCTTGAATATGAAGGTGAAAAGAGCTTTTCCTCATTTTTTTTTCCTTATTTCCTGCTTCTGAGAAGAGTTCTGGCATTTCCATCCAGTTGACAGAGGTCATAATATAAAGGTTTCCTCTATAATAAACTATATTTCAGAAAGGAGTTTTCATAAGAGAACGCCTGTGCTCAGATTTGCTGCGGCCTTTAATTTATCCAGTTATCAGTTTGCTATCAGTGTATCTCCCCAAGATTCCCAGGGAAATTCCCCAGAGATCTTCACCCTGACCTGAGTTTGGGGCTACAGAAATCCACTGCATGTTTAGTTTCTAAAAAAACAAAGACAGATCTAACAGCATGAACACAATTTCATGAGTAAACCACCAGTAAAGTGATGCCCCGTTGAGATGGAATTTGACAAGCTACATAACCTTCCCCTCCTTCAATTTTTCAGGATGAAAAACAGGGATTTTGATTTTTCAGGGTGTAAAACAGGGATGCAGCACATTGTCTCACCTTTGACATCGATCCTGAAGGTGAGTTTTTGGCCAGCAGCCTCACAGGTGTACTCTCCTGCATCTTTCTTCTCCACCTGACCCACCACCAGGCGACGCGATTTGCCCTCCGACTCCACCTTGAACTTCTTGCTGGAGGTGATCAGCTTCCCATCCTTGTACCACTTCACCTCTGTTTTCTCCTGGGCCACCTCGCAGCTCAGCGTGGCATTTTCTGACACTGCAGCCTTCACCTCTTTCTGCACCTTCTCCTTGTTTGTAAACACAGCCTCTGGCTCTGAAATAAGGAAACCCCAACAGTCACACAGAGCTTTTTGCAGTCACGGTCTCTGGTGTTAAATCAAGTTTCTCCTACTTCACTGTACTTGCCCCGACAGGTAATAGCATGAGGGGCCATTAGTGCAAGAAAGCACCTTCATTTCTGTCTTGAAAAGAGGTGAACAATAATGGGAATTTGATGGGAATTTTGGGGTAATGTGAAAAACTCTCAGTTTTAGGACATATTTAAATGTAGGACTTGAAGGACCAACTTCCATTGCCTGAACCGCCCTCCCTCTTCTCTTTTTCTCTCCCTATGTCTCTCCAAGATTCCAGTGAATCAGAAGGGAACAGCACCTGTATCCTCATGTCCATGAACCATTCTTTCCTTTGCCTATTTGAGATAATTCTATTGTTTTCCATCTAATCATGGAATGGTTTGTTGGAAGTGACCTTAAAGATGATCACAATCCAACCCACCTGCCATGGGCAGGTTCCACTAGACTACATTGCTCCAAGCCCCATCCAGTGTTTAAGGCATGGGATCTAATCAAACACCTTCCCCTTTATCCATCCCTCTCTGCTATGGCCTCACACTATTTTTCCATGGGAGTTTTTCTGCAGATGCACCAGCTAATTGTGAAAGGAGAATGAATCTCTATCCTTTCCTATGATTTTTTTTTTTTTGTGATCACAACCTGTCATGGATGCAGAACCATGTGTAGAAAATGTTGTTATGAAAATGGTCAAAAAAAAAATTGAGTACAATGGTTCAGATCTGTGTTGAGATCTTTCACCCCAGGGAGATTGTGGGATGATTGTCTAGATGCAAGGCACCACTCAAAATGGAATTCTCCTTTACCTTCGGGATTCCTGGCACTTTCTCACCTCTGACTTTGACTTGGAATGTTGTTCTGTCGTCCTTTGTCTCGCAGGTGTAGCTGCCTTGGTCTTGCTGTGTCACCTTCTTGATGATGAGCTTGCGTTGTGTCCCCTGGCAGACGATTGTTGTCCTCTGGTCCTGCTTCACCTCAGCCTGATCCTTCCTCCACACCACGGCCCCACCAGCAGCTGACACCTCACACACCAGCTCCAGGCTCTCAGAAGGACTGACTGACACTTCTGGAGTCGTTTTGGGCTTGTTGACAAAAGTAACGGCTTCATCTGGAGTGGAAAAACGAAAATGGTTTGTGCCTTGGTGCAGGTTTGTCTGCACAAAGTTAGTGGTTATTGATCTTTATTCCATTATCACACACTCTTGATGCCTCTCTGACAGATGGTGCAAACCCCTCTGATCTTCAGATAATTGCTCTCAATTACACTGAAATCCCCTTCATCTGCCCTACATCCTCCTGGATCTTCCAAATCAAACTGAGACGCCCTCAAGTTGCTCACACTTCATTTACCACTCCTCGATTCCAAAGTCAAGCAAGATCTGGCGGATATGTGTTGATGTCTGAGGGCACAAACAGCTTTGAAAAGACCTGGGAAGTCTCAGAAAATCTAGTTAGAGGTGATGAGGAGCCTTTTTTAAATGTTTCTGAGCCCATTCCTGCAGCTCCTTGTTCATAATACCAATCCTACAGGACTAATTCTTCTCCAGGCCAGGGCACATATGGGATAATCTCATTGATAAAATATTCTCCAAGTTAGGGAAAAGCTCTGAGCAACATGGTCCAGTGGAAGACATCGCTTCCCATGGCAGGGGGTTGGAAGGAGATGGTTTTTAAGGCCCTTTCCAACCCAAACCATTCCATATTTCCATGAACATAGGATTCAATAATCTCATATCTTTTGGTTGAAACTGATTTTCCCAGCAGAGAACTTAGAATTGCTCACACAGCTCAGTGGAGGTTCCTGCATGGATAACTCAGCTCAAACAGATATTGGCTGTGCAAAGACAGGGTATTTGTCATGTAGGCAGCAACAACACAACATTTTTATCAATTGCAAATTGATATCAATTGCAGTTTTACCTCTTTGCAAAGGTAAAAATCAAAGATTGCCTGTCTGAGTGTGCAATGCAGCTTCTCAGCACTCTGGAAAATGTCTATGGTGACACATGGAACACGGAGGAAACTGCCCTGGCTAAGGTGTTGTCACCAGGCTGTAACTCAATCCTTGCTCACCAAAAAGTTTGTGGGGATAGAACACAGCTTAACAACTTCAAACTGCCAGAGAGTAAGGTTAGATAGGATATTAAGAATAAATTCTTCCATGTGAAAGTGGGGAGACTCTGGCACAGGTTCCCAGAGAATCTGTGGCTGCCCCTGGATCCCTGGAAGTGCCCAAGGCAGGACTGGATGGGGCTTGGAGCAACCTGAGACAGTGGAAGGTGTCCCTGCCATGGCAGGGGTGGGACTGGATGAGCTTTGAGCTCCCAACCCAAACCTTTCTGTGATTCTGAGATTTGGCAGACACCAGTTTTCTTTGCCTCAGCCATGTGATAGGAATTACAGATGAGATTCATCCAACCTCCCCATGGCGAGCAAAAAGTTTATACCGAGCTCAGGCAATCCTCTGCACCTGACGCTCAGACAAAAGCACAACCAGAACACTTCTAAAATCCATCTTAGACAGCTGTAATCAGACAGCATAAATCAGATTGCAAAGTGCCTTTTGAGGGGTTAGTTAGGGCAGAGCCTGGTTTCAGACCAGTTATTCAGTTAGTAAAGTGAGGGGCTGGGAATTACATTCCAAGAGAAATTGCATGATGTTGGATTCCCAGAAGAGAACTGCAGGTGAGATGCAGAGCAAACATCACTCCCTCCAGCTCACTAAATCCTGCACCAATCCCTCCAGACAAGTGCTGTCCTAAATTAATCATCTTTGCTGAGTCTTCAGTTAGCTCATGGACAGCATCACAGCAACATGGATATTCTGTTACAGGGCACAAGCACTCAGTTGTGACTTCTCTTGGATTGCATTGTACTGCAGACATGCCAGGAGAAGCTTTCAGGAGAGTTTCAATCTTAAATTTAGGACCAGGTTAAAAATCAGGCTCCAGGCATAAGGCAGAAAACCCCATTTAGGAGAAAAGTTCCCACAAGCATGCAACTGGAATCAGTTGAATTTCACAGATATTGAATTTCACCGCTGAGTTCTTGTGTCATTTTATACTCTGGCTCCGTCCTGGGCTGGAATGCAATGGTAACAAGCATTTCTCTTCTGGGTTTGGCCTGACAGCCACGTGCTCTGTGTGATGGGCACGTGACACAGACTGATGGAATCACTCACAGCACCACAGGGAGGGATCCCTGAGATCACAGTGTCCTTTAGGAACACCAGGAGGTGTTTAACTCTCAAAATCAGCAATTAAACTTGTCAAAGGAGTCACAGCAAGGCTTTGAACCCTTGACTGAGGTGGTCCTAAGATGATGCACAGCTGAGCTGAAAGAATAGAGGCCAGATGTGGCTGCCAGCTGTTCAGCCAGCATTGGTTTTGGGTTGTGCTCCAGCTCTGGAAAAAGCTTGAGCTGACTCAAATTAAACCACAGCATTGTTATATTATTTGCCCATACTCTGGGTTTGCACCAGGATCACAACAAGGGTCAGAACCTCTCCAAGTGCTGTGCAACCTTGGCCCATAAATCTGTCCATTTGTAAGGTAGGACAAGTCTAAAGAACAAAATCCTGCATTTCCCACATAGACTCTGACCCCACACTTGCAGTACAGACTTACCTGAGACTTTTAAATCAAAAGTCAGGGTGTCGTCCCCAATTTTGCAGGTGTAAGTTCCTTCATCTTCCTTTGTCACGGTCGAAGCCACAAGCTTGTGCAGCTTTCCTTTGTCTTCCACGGTGAATTTCTTGCTGGCTGTGATCTCCTTCCCATCTTTGTACCACCTCACCATGACGTTGGCCTCAGAGGTCTCAGACACGAGCTCAGCCCGTTTCCCAGCAATGGCCTTGACAACCCCTCCAGTTTTCTCTTTGTTCACAAAGTTTGCAAGTGCTGAAACAAAACAGGGGCAAAGCTCTGGTAAAGAATTCTGTGCACAGCAATAAAAATGTGCATTGACATCTACATTTGGTATTCATGTATCATAAGACAAAATCTATTTATTTAATTATGGATCTAATCACTAGATTACAAAGCAGGAGCAGACAAGTTTCCAACTATAATCCTGATTATCCCGTGTCCAAAAAGCAGAGCACATAGATGGCACAAGAGGCTGAGCCAGGGAGAAGAAGCCCCAGGAAACAGAGTCATTATATTATTAAAATATATTAATATATTATTAATATATTATTTTAAAGGGAGGTGAGAAAAGAAATAAACTGGATGTAAAGCCAGAAAGGTAAATCAATCATTATATTGCAACCACCTGCCAAGTAAATTGACTCTAGAAGAGGTTAAAATATAACCTAGTTAAATTAAATTCCATAAAATTAATAACCTACATGGATATCTCATAGGACTAAAATGAATATAAATTTATTCCTGGAAATTAACTGGAGCATAGAAAATAAACAATAAATCTGGCATTTTATTAATGTGGGATGAAATAATGGAGTCACCAATTGCCTCAAAGCAAAAAATTCAAAATGGGATGGGATGGGATGGGATGGGA